AAGTTATTAGTTATTAATTTTAATTTATTTAATTTTAAGCATTAGCAAGATCTTTGGCAAAAATTATTAAAAATCAAGATGAAATTCTTTATGAAATTAAAGAACTTAAATCTAAAGTTGAAAGAATTAAAAATATATTAAGTGAATTAGAGCAGAAATTGGAGAATAATTTTGATTTTAAGAATAAGAAGATCTTTAAAGAAGTAATTATTTAAGTTTAAATTTATTTTTTTTAATTAATTAAAATTAATTTAAATTAATTTAATAAAATAAATATATTAATAAAATACAATTAAAGGGGCTGCTAAAGAATTAATTACTTATATGATATATTCTGATGATAAAAAATTAAAATTAGCTGTAAAAAATTACATTAGAGCTAACTTTAATGATGATTTTCAAAGATTTTTACCAAAGCAGTGCAATGCATATTATATAAAGAATTTTTTTTTTTTTGTTTAAATATTAAGGTGAGTACATATGACCCAGAACTTTACTGATAGTATAAATTGGCCAGCACCTGTACATATACAGATGCAAAGGCAATTACAGAAAGAGTGTACAACTAGTCATTTATACAACTTTAGTCATTGTCTAATTTAAGTAGTTCACTTGAAGGTTCTATACTAGTTACTATACCTAGAACTTAGCTGTAGATCCTCTATTTAAACACTCTAATCTTGCATTTACTAAACTCTATTAGTGACTTTGGTAAACTGGTGAAGATATGCCATAGTCACTAAGTCATGTTTAACTTTGTACTAAATCTATCAGTGCGTTCTGTATCCCATACTTACAGCTCACCCAGTTATGCTTTGGCCTAAACTATTACTTGCAGTCAGAGCTAATTATTAAACTGCTTTTACTCTTATAAGATTCATTCAAAATCCTGGTATCCATCTTTTCGATATCCTCTTCATCATCCCTTACTAACTGCTATTCAAAACCGACAGAACTCTCTTGACTTCCAATTCAGATAGCCCAGTATAATATACCTTAGTATTCTTTTCTTCCAATGATTTTAGCAGTCTGGTTGGTCATATGCTCTTCTACACATCTTGCCATCTAGTTTATCTACCTATCCCTTTGGGGTGTTTCATGGGCTTCCATCAGTCTGACAGCACTGTTGAAAGTTTTGTGCTACCTCCTTGCTTAGGATTTCCAACTCTTCAGTTTTTTTGCTTTCCATGTCTGGTGGTCTTATCATGAGTTTGCACTAAAGTTTTATGCAACACTAGTTATTAATATTCCTCTGTGTAAGTGTAATATTACACTTAGTATAGATGCCCCAAGCTCCCATTCGAGCTAATGCAACAAAGGTTACAGATACACCAATCCAACTAATTGACAGAGACAGTTACCATAACACAGACTTAATTTTCAAAATTTGTTATCTATAGGATTTGAACTCTAGACCTGCCACTTGGAAGTTGACAACTTGACTACTTCACTAGATCACCACACCCCTTATATGAAAAATTTTAACAGATTAGTAAACTTATTTTATTTAATTTATTTCTTAATTTCAATTATTTTAACTAATTTAATATAATTCAAACAAGTTCAAAACTAATAAAATCAATTTGTTTTTATAATTTATATTTTTAGCTTTTAAAAAAAATTAGATCTTTGCAGGATACTTTAACTCACAGGATTAAATCTTCTATATTTTTTGTATTTAAGAATCTTTTAAAACTAATAAATACAAAAGCATTATCTAAAATAGTTCTAAAATGAAAAAGATCTAAACAGACCAAAGCATGTTATAAGCAGCTATTTGATAAGGTAGAAAAAATTCTGATGAGACCTATATGTCTCAAATTTTAAAAAGAATTTGGCCTAGTAGAGATGTCTTTAAAGAAAATATAGTATATCTATAGCTATAATACAAACTATGCTTAATCCCAAATATGACAAAATAATGATATCAGATACTGCTATTAAAAATTTAATTACAAAAAATTTAGTATGTATTTATTAATATTTTATTATTTATTATTTAAAATATTTTAAATTAATTTGAATTAATTTGCATTTTATAGAATATATTAGAGCATTGTGGCAGTTTTTATATTTCAAGTTCTTAAGATGAAGATGAAGAGTTCAATAAATATAGAGAAGAATCTGTTAATAATGAATTAGAAAAAGTTGATAAAGTATAATTTAATTAATTAAAATATTTTAAATTTATTACAAAAAAATATTTTCTTATAGTTAAATTTAAACTAATTAAATAGGATCAAGTTAGAAAATATAAATATAAATTAAATCAAGCTGAAAAGATATAATATTTAAATTTAATTAAATTAAATTAATATAAATTAATTTTTATAATTTTGTTTTAAGATGAGCAAAAGATTAAGAGTTAGTAAGTAATAAATTTTAAAATTAGAAACAATTCAAATTAATTTGAACTGTTGTGATTTTAATTAAATAAATTAAATTTAGAATATATTGAATTAGATCAAGATAATTTGAATGAAGATCAAGAAGAGGGTAAAAAAGAATCTGAAGATAATAATAAATATATTGATAATGATGAGTAAAAGTTTTTTTTGTTTTGTTTTTTTATATATGAATAATACTGTACTTTTTTTTGTTTTTTATTTTTTTATATATTTCTTTAAAATAGGATTATTATAGTTTAACTTTTTTTATATATAATATTTAAAACTAGATAATATGTAGCATTGTGTATCTGAAGCCTAATACATAATGATCAGCATGCTATACAAATGTAAAATAAGAATATTAGTGTTACATTAAAGTACAAATATAGACACATGTGCAGATATACAAAAAATTTTTAAATTGCATTTCTGATATTAATTTCATAATTTTTATGTTTATGCATCAAAAAGGTACCATTTTTTGAGCCAAATGCATCAAAAATATAACTTTTGTATCATATGCTGAATAATTTAGTGTCCTCTGCTTCACTCTGGACAATAAATTTATTAATAAAATTTAAATTTTATATGAAGGACCAGGTTAATGATGGTCAGATCCAATGTACAGGACAGGCTATGGTATTCTGCATAGCTGTGCAAGCTAAGCATATGGTAAGCAAATCTACTGAAGAATCCTCTACTTTTTTGAACTTCATTTCATCATCTCATATCAAGGAAGAACTTCAAGACTCAGCTTACAATACACTATATGATCCAGACTCTTGCCATAATGTGTGATTAGCAGAGTTAAATCTACTTCTACTTCCACATCTTCAAACACTTAGCTCCTTTTTAAAACATATTCATCATTATAATTATACACAATTAAACAATTTTAACTATGCATTTATAATATCAATTAAAATTGATTATAGTAAATGCTATATATATTTACTACACAAATCTCAACCTTCACCTGAATATTTTTTTTTACAACTATCAGTCTACATTTATTACTTATCCATATCTATTTTTTCTAAATTTTCTCTAATAAACAATAACTTACCAAATATGAATTCTATTATAAAGGAAAATAATATAGACTATTCTTACTTCTAACTAGTAGGAGTTATTTTAGAAGGCCACGATAAAACTACTATAGCTAAACACCACTATGACAATATCCAATATAATACCTGCTATAACAAATTTCTATTCTACAACTATCTACTACTGCTTTCTCATTTTCAAACTATTATTTCTTTCTTATAACACATCCACAGTTTTGGCTATTTACCTGATAATGTTTGTGGTTATACACTAACAATTTCTATTAAAAATGATCATAGTAAAGCTCATGTTTACCTCCTATCAGAAACTAAACCATTACTTAATCACTTTATTTTACCAATGCAAGCTATCTGGTATTATCCAAACATTCAGCTAAAATTAAACACATCAATACCAGTCTTTTTTATATTAGCACCTTTAGCTCCTATCTCTAGTAATTTAACACAATCTAAAAATCCTAATACTTTATCTCTAAATCTCACAATCTGCATCTACAATGTTCAAGAATACAATGAAAATCTCAAACAGCAAGTCTGGAAGAATTATTGTATTACTCATTTCTTAAACATTATCAGTATCACAGAAACTAAAATAGCAAAAGATAATGCTATTACCAAATTTCATAACTCAAAACACTATTCCTATTACTGGTC